CCCCTACACTTTACCCTTTTACTCATTGCTGCCAACAGGCGGTTTCAGTCCTGGAGCCCCCCCCACCTCAGTCCAAAAAGGTCAGCCACTTTTCAAACAAAAACAAATAATTAAAAATAATTTAGCACCGGAGAGAATGAAAGCCTTATGTTGGTGCACCTCCTCCTTGTTTCCCCACAAAAAAGAAATTCCCCAGTGTCTCTGTCCTCATGGTTTTTGCACACACATTGGGGACCAGGTTGCAGCTCAGGTGAGCTATTAGGGTCAGGGGTTCAGAGCAGATGAAAATCCCCATATTTTAACTCATCATTTCCATCTGGTTGCTGTGACGGTGTGTGTGAGTTGGGGGGAATTTAATTTTGTATTTGTAATGTAATTTTAGGTTAATTCCTCCATTTTACAAGTGTTTTCTCTTTTAACCTTTAAATTTCACCTTATTTTATGCCCTACTTACTTTTTTTTCTGTAATAATATAATAGTTTTTTTTAGCTATGAGTTATTAATTTCCTCTAAAAATTTTAAAGTTTTGTTTCTTTAAAAGCACCATTAAAATTAAAATTCATTAATATTACTTAGTATAGTGTAAGTTTAATATGTAATACAGTGTAAATATGTTTAGTATCAGGTTTAAACACTGCCTTTTTGACTTCTTATTTTAACCCATTTCCTTTGAAGCTGAGAGTTTCTTTGAACTCTCCTTTTAACCATCCATCATTTTAAACTGCTTTTTTATTTTGTTTATTTTCCTTTTCTTTTTTTTTTCAAATTCTGTAAATTTCTTACCTTATCTTCTTTTTAGCCTCTAACTTCTCATGATATTGGTTTATTTTATCCTTAACATTTTTTTTTTTATTGCAACATTAAATCAAAAATTTCTTCTTGAGTTGACAATTCCCCAGAACCTTGCCTTTTGTTCTACTGCCCTAGAACTGCAAAATCTATCCCATTATCTACAGGTAATTTACCGGTTTCCAATATGCACACCATTCCTCTGGTGCCGACCTGGATAACTGGGGGGGATCCCGCTCTAGATTACCGACGTCTCAGTAAAATTAAATGCCTTCTGGTGGCACCTACAACCTTCCTCTCACCCTTAGAGAGAGCCTCACGTTCCTATGCGAGGTCTTTTGGTTCACAGGTGGAACAAAAACCTGAATTGACTTTCTGTTCCCCAAAAAGAAAAGTTATCTTTTATTTTGTATGTATATTGTTTAGTATTAGTATAGTAATTTTAGTGCATTAAAATGATTAACCGATTAATCTTTAATTTAGTTAGATTTTTATTTTGTTTTTGTTAGATTACATTTATTTATTTGATTATTTTAATGGAGAAGAGGACTTTGAGCTAATTTTCCAGTATTTGATTTCTAATTATCTTTAAATCTTTTAACAATCTGTTTTTTTGTAATTCAGTTTTTTAAATTTAATTTAAACTGTGCCGACAAAAGATTAATCTTACCGTCTCAAAAAAATGGTTAGTTTTGATCCTCCTGCTGACCTCTAGGGACCTCGATGTCAGAAGTCCTCAGTCCCTTAACCTTCTAACGGGGTATTGAGGCTGGAAGACTGCTTCCTCCAGGTGGTACCTGACACTTCTGACAATCGCTGTCCTCAGAAAAAAATCAGCCAAGGAGAATCCTGCTGACAACGCCAAATTGTTGTGGAAAAAAAGTATTCAACTATTCATCCTAGTTAAATAAACGGAGATCGATGGATTTCACTCAGTCGGCACATTTATTCATATCTTTGCAAAGTGAGAACAGTTCATCATGAAGCCTTTATGGCACAGCATTCTGCCCTGTTCTGATCTGGACAGCGTTCGTCCCCCCTTACTTAGAACACTGCAAAAATAGTTAAAGTCAAAACAAATTACAAACACTCTGGTTAAACAGTAACATGTTATGAATAAACCTTGAGAAAGAATCTGGTTTGTTATGGAAGAAGCTCTGTCTGGTCTACAAACACCATCCTACATAGAATGGTGCGGCCTTCAAGGTGAAACAGACTGAGTGAAAACTTTTATAGTGAGTAAATAGAATAAATTAATATATAATAAGGGAGAAATAAAAATGTTCCGACATTATCTATTTAATTGACTATTTCTACTCCTAGAAATAGGATAAAGACAAGAACAAACAAAGGAACACTATTAACATTGGTTTTATCTTACATAGATTTCCTCACAGTCTATAAGAAAATTAGTACAAACATTGATGTCTGGTAAATAATCCTTGAATCTGGCTGTTTATTTTGGATACTATTAAATTACAGATAAGAGAGTGTTATATTGTCCTTTAGAATTGTTAAATGTGATTTTATATTTGAATAAACTTAGGCTCATTCTCAGTGTTATGCTTTATAGATGATGCCACTAAAAAATACTCTTCACCATCGCTGTTAATCTGTGACTGCATGCGTGCCCATCTCACAGCTGATGTGAAAAACATGGTGAAACAAATTAACGCTGTGCTCGCTGTTATTCAACCGCTCGACATCGGTGTGACCAGACCCAGCAGGTGCAGCAGAAGCAGCGAGTTTACATGCAAAGTCAATGGTTGACGCGCGTATAGGTGCAGCAAAAGGTCCCGCAGCGCGTTTTGAGCCGCAGGTGCAGCGCGTCGGGAGCGTTTAAGCATCTGACGCGCCACCAACGCGCTGCTGCTGCTCGAGATGGAAAAATTGAAGTTTTGTTGTTGGACGCGCCACATCAACCAATCAGAGAAGCTGATCTGGGAGCTGACAGCGAGACAGACACATCGCTGATGATACAGATATACACAGCGCTGTGATCGCTCCTCTGAAACAGTTTATTGATGCCTAAATTAACTTAACCTGCCGACAGAATATGTTCACTTTCATTATCCAGTTTTCAGGTGGATTTAAAAACATATTAAAACTACTTTATTCCCACTGATCACAGCAAATATAGCTGCAAGGCAAAGAAAGGAATGCCACCGTTAGCGGATGGATTGTAGATGCTTGGAGTAACGTGTCTGCTGGCTCTGTTGTTCGAGCTTTCGCAAAAACCGGCATCATTTCCGAGGAGCCGCCCGGCACAGAAAGTGACTCCGACAGCGAAGAAGGGGAAACTGGCATGTCTGGTTTAGCGCAGCTGTTTAAATCAAAAACAGAGGATGATGACTTTGATGGGTTTGATTAATACTTTGTAATAAATACATGAATAAAGCACAATCATACTCAGTTTTGCTCCCGCTCTATTTTTCTACCTGAAAACTTAATTCAACAGCAGCCTCTGGGCGGGTCTCCTCCTCTTCACCGCGGTGGCTGGCAGGTGTTTTTTCATCTAAATAATCTAAAGGATTATAAAAGGATAATAGGATAATAAAAGCGAACATATTCTGTCGGCAGGTTTCAGGATTTTAAGTTAATTTATGCGTCAATAAACTGTTTCAGAGGAGTGATCACAGCCCTGTGTCATCAGAGCGATGTGTCTGTCTCACGGCCAGCTCCCAGGTTTGATTAATACTTTGTAATAAATACACCTTGCAGCTATATTTGCTGTGATCAGTGGGAATAAAGTAGTTTTAATATGTTTTTAAGTGAGAAAATCCACCTGAAAACTTAATCATTGCAGTCAGTTCATCCAGATTATCATCCTGCCTTCTAATAGTATTTCTGTCGGAGGCGCTCAGACCCCCACATACCAGCGGTGCGCCGACAGTAGGAATCCCTTCAACAGCAGCCTCTGACCGCGAGGAGGCAGGCGCCAGGATAATAAAAGCTAACATATTCTGCCGGCAGATTACTGCATTTTAAGTTGATTTATATGTCAATAAACTGTTTCAGAGGAGTGATCACAGCGCTCAGTGTCATCTGCGATGTGTCTGTCTCACGGCCAGCTCCCAGGTTTGATTAATACTTTGTAATAAATACATGAATAAAGCACAATCATACTCAGTTTTGCTCCCACTCTATTTTTAAATACGCAGTAGAGGTATTTAAAGGTAGTAGAGGACATGTACCTGTATATAAAAAACGCGCCCTATAGTCCGGTGTGCCTTATGTGTGTGTTAAATACAGAAACATAACTGAGACTGCGCCTTTTAGTACGGTGCGCCTTATGGTCGTGAAAATACGGTATGTCTCATCTGCCAGCACCAACTTTCTTTGTAAGAACTGGAAACTGATCTGTTTAAACTAGATATGAAATAATTACATTTGCCAAACAATTATCCCTAAATCATCATCTGAACAATTTAATACCATTAAACAAATTATATTACAGCTTTAGGTTGTCTTTAAATATCGGAAAAAACATAATAAAAAGATAATTTGTAACTTAAATGAAACTTTACAAATTTTTAGAATCCATTAGGTTTTTATTTCTACTCACTACATCAATCTAGAAGTAACTACATTAAAGGGGAAAAAAACATAATTTGTATGAAGTAAAAATTTATTTCTGCTGTTAATGAAAAGCTTGTCCGAAAAACCTAGCAAGAAAACTGTATTAACCAATCAGGTTCTCATGTAATGAGGTGAAGGAGTTTCTAGATAGATGTGAGTTCTTATGTGAAGCAACACATCTTTCTTTTTAGGATAATTTGTTTCATGTGTTTCTCACATGAGTCGCCATGTGCTGAGTCACATTATCTTCTCTAGTAAAACTTTTGCAACAAATTGTACAGGAGAATGGCTTCTCCCTCGTGTGAATTCTGATGTGTCGATCAAGTTGAGATTTCTGAGAGAAGCTTCTTCCACAGAACAGATAAGAAAAATGTCTTTCATCTGAATGAGTTTTCATGTGAAAAGTCAAATGACTTTTTATGGTACATTTTTTGCCACAAATTACACATGAGAAAGGTTTCTCACTTGTGTGAATTCTCATGTGCGTATAAAGATTAGATTTCTGAGTGAAGCTTTTCCACAGGACAGACATTTGAAAGGCTTCTCACCATTATGATCCATTTTGTATATAGTTAAATTACTTTCTATGGTACACCTTTTGTAACAAATAGTACAGGAAAATGGTTTCTCACCTGTATGTAGTCTGATGTTTGTAACAAGATTTAACTTCTGAGAAAAGCTTTTTCCACAGGACAGACATTCACTGATCTTCTCGCCTGAGTGAGTGCTCTTGTGATCTATAAAATGTACTTTATTTTGAAAGTTTTCTCCACATGTCAAACACGGGAAATGTTCCTCTCCTGTATCTTCAGTCTCCTGCTTCAGAACAAGCTGCTCTTCCTGCTCACTAATGGGGAGCTCCATGGTTTCCTCTTTAGTCCAGGGATGTTCTGGTTCTTTCTGCTCTTCTTTTATCTGCAGAGCTTCTGGTTCCTCTTGGTCCAAACTGGAATTCCTCTCCAATCCACAGAGCTGCTGGTCAGAGAAATCCTCCTCTTTTCCAACATAATCCTGCAGGAGGTCTGGAAAGACAAACACAGCAGAAAGACTTTCTATTGGTGGTTAAATAAAGGACACTTCACTTTAATGATCCTTGTGTTAATCCAGCTACATAGAAACAGACTGGAACTACATATCCCAGCATGCACTGCAGCTCTGACGTTACAATCACAGATTTGGAACTCCACTGTCATCCGTAAAGCTTTAGATTATGTCTGAACAGAACATGTTTATCTTTCATTTTCCCAGCACACAAACCCAATCGTAGTTTTCCAAACAATTTAATTATTGAGGTCTTACTGCCATCTGAAGTGTTAAAACATCATTTGGGATGGCCATTTAGCATTGATTTCCATTTAGACAACCAATTTTAAATCATTAAGTCAATTTTAACATCTACCTTCTTGGCATAAATTCCATCTTGTTTTACATTTATTGACAAAATAAGCATCTGTACGTCTGTTTCCATCATAACATACAAATGTCTGTACATGATCAATCGATGAAATATAATCAGGGCGACCATCAAGAAAGCACAACTTTCAGACTTTTCATTTAAATCCTGACAGGGACAGGATACTGCATCAGCCAGTTAATTTTGATAAATGCTGTTTGATTGTTGTCAACTATTGGACACCTTTAGCTATCATGTGAGGCGACCTCCTCCAAACTTTGAAAACTAACTTTTAAATGTAGATCTATGTTTTGAAGATCAATTTGATGGAAAATGTCATGAGAAGTACCTAGCTTGGTTTCTGTAGCTAAATATTAGTTTGAAATGTTTGAGTGAACTTAAAATGTTTTATCTGGGATGACGGAGGATCATGTGGGGCGACCACTACTGAGTGTTTTACACAATAAACAGGATTTCCTCTGTATTTATTTACATATAATAGTAACTTAAATTGTTTAAGCCTTTTTATGTAAACACATATTTCTATTAATTCAATCATTCATCATTACTATTCAGGAATACCCATTTGTCTTTGATTATAGTAAAATCCTGAGAAAAGATAAAACTATGAGGCAAAAAAAATGATATTTAGGCAATCGTAGATTTATTCATATTTAACTATTTTGACCAATTTTCAAGAAATGCAACATTAACAAGCAAACAGGAGACAGGGGTCAACAGACAGCCATTCATGTCCGACTGTGCAGCGAGAGTCTAATATATTACCAGGAAAAGAGAAAGGTGGAAACTCTGGGTAGCATTTAGTCTTATTTGTATTTCAAATTATCATGTTTGTAGGATTAGGAATGACGTTTTGTTATAGTGTGAACTTAAAGGAGTAATCTTTACTATTTGTATACTGTAATTTCTGGACTATAAGCCGCGACTTTTTCCCCCATTTTTTGAACTTGCGGCTTATATAACAATGCAGCTTATCTATGGACTTTTACAGCTAACGGCCACTAGGGTAATACCTAAATCTATGGATTTTAACATCCACCATGTTGACGTCCGAGGTCCCCCGGAAGCAGAATTCTACCGCGAGTTGTACGAGACAGAATGACGGCGAGAAAGACGGACATTAAACATAAAACACCTGCAGCTTATAGTCCGGTGCGGCTTGCACATGTACAAATCATGAAATTTAGCTTCTGCGGCTTATATTCAGGTGCGGCTAATAGTCCGAAAATTACGGTTGTTTTTTTTTCCTTGGACCACTAAACTACAGAATGGACATTAAGGTTTACTCAACATTGTGCATCATTCATGAAGTCATTTCTATGTGGAAAGGTTTTCTTTACATTTGGCCTCTTGATTTTACGTTATTCCATCATGTTCTACTCACCCATATGAGTTTTGTGTCATTTGGAGCCGTTCTGAAGATACAGTGAACCCTCGCTATAACGCGCTTCACTTTTCACGGTCTCACTGCTTCAAGGATTTGCATCATGCATTGTTCAACTTTATTGTCAAACATAATCGATGGTGGCATGTCGGTTTATAAGGATCTTTTGGCCCAGAAGAAAAAAAGAGCGACAACAACTACCGATAAATATGTTCTTCTCTCCAAAACACACACCTGCACCGCAGGCTTTAGAAGAAAAAAACGCCACAGAGCAGAGTCAGGATGCAGCGGCTCCGTCAAACAGCAGTGAAACACTGTATTGTACACGTTCGTCACTATTTGTCCTACTGTACTTTGTATTTTTTTTTCAGAATCATTTTTCATTTTCTCCCGTTCCAATCCGTCACGGTCGGGCAGTGCTGATCCCCGCAATATTAACTCTTCAGTTCGTATTGATGATTAAAATTATTATTTATTTATTTATCACTAGATTATTTTACAGTACAATACAGTAGTTATTTGTAAAAAAAAAAAAAAAAAAAAAAAAACAACAAACGAAATACAGTTTATAAGTTTTTGTTGAGTATTTCATTGTATAATAACTGTAAAAAAATACAGGTTTCTACTTCACGGATTTCGCCTATCGCGGGTTCTTTTTGGAACGTAACCCCCGCGATAAACGAGGGTTCACTGTATTACGTTAGGTTATATCCAAGTAATGTCTTCCTATGGGCAACGACTTTAAGGCACAAACTAAACTGTTCATAATTTAATCTTTATGGTACGCCAGCATTCAGAACATGGAGGCCAATCACTGTCCCCCAGACATCCGGCGTTATATTTTATATATTTTTTATGTTTTTAAAAATAAGCAGCGCGTGTATGACGTCATCCGTGTGCGTCAGCTACCATTCATTCATCCTGTCCGCTGAACTGCTGCTAGTTTTCCTCACATGCCTGGAAGATGTCTAGAGCTGCTACCACAGATGATCTCGCTCTCCAAACGGAATTGAACGATTCAGATTAGCTAGAATGAATAGAAGGGGTAGAGCGTAGCCGCCTGGTGTAATGTACATTGGTCATATAAAGTAAAAAAGCAAAAGTCCAGTCCAACGCATGGATGATGTCATACACACCCCACTTTGTTTTTAAAAGATATAACTATAAAAAATATAACCATGGATGTCTGGGGGACAGTGATTGGCCTCCATGTTCTGAATGCTGGCGTACCATAAAGAATAAATGATGAACAGTTTAGTTTGTGCCTTCAAGTCGTTGCCCATAGGAAGACGTTACTTGGATATAACCTAACGGAATATCTTCAGAACAGCTCCAAATGACACAAAACTGATATGGGTGAGTAGAACATGATGGAATAACATAAAATCAAGGGCCCAATGTAAAAAAAAAAAAAAAATGGGAATGACAGTTGTCTGTTGGTTGAGTCTAAAATTGTTCCAGGTCATGAGATAAATTCACTCAAAAACAGTGTTGACTCCAATGGAGGACCAACTCTGCCATATTTAAAAATAAATACAGAAATAAATAAATGCTCAATAAATAAATAAGCATACAATTAATTGCCACCAAAAATACAATAAACAAAAAAATGTAAGTAGAAATTAAATTATACAGTTCGTCTGTTTTATTCTTCCTTTGCATTTTTTTACCCTAGTTATTTCTCTATGCCCTTTTTTTACATTTCTCTATGCTTTTCTGCCTCATTATGCAAATGAAGAGGGGGCGTGTCCTAGAGAGTCAACTTCTGCTCATTGGTTGGCGGTCCATCTTCTTAACTCAGAGCTCTGAATACTAAGTTAAATGTTCTCTTTTCTGTTGCTGTTGTTCAATAAAAGTATGTTTTAAGATTATTTGAGGCGAGAAAATTATACTTTTAAGCATCACCATATGGCCCATTCACAGATTTAATGCGTACTTTATAAGAAAATGTCCCGAACTTGAGAGGACCGCGGCAACCAGCGGAGCTCCGAAGCTAACGGGAGCCATGTTTAACGGCAGCCCGTCTGCAGCGGCCCTTCCTTGGCATAGCCGTGTGTGAAGGACCGCTGGCTATGATGGCGATTTTTTGTTGTATTTTGTTGAACATACTTGGCGAGGACACGAGTCCCTACTCGCGTTCTAATGACTTCAGACTCGACTTCAGACTCTCCTCTCCTCCTGTAGATTCGTCCGATGCAGTAAAATGCTAACCAACCAATGAGCAGAAGGCGACTCTCTAGGACACGCCCCCTCCTCATTTGCATAATGGGGCAGAAATGCAGGCAGAAATGTAAAGAGGGCAGAGAGAAATAAATAGCGGCGAAGAAATAACTAGGGTAAAAAACTACAAAGGAAGAAGAAAACAGACAAAAATATAACATGCACATAAATAAATACTTAAAGAAATAAGTAATTAAAAAATAAAGTTGAAGATTAAAAAGGACAAAAAAAATAAGGTCAATATTACAAAGGCGAATAATTAAAGAAGCTAATTAAAAGAGTTATATACATTTATGTCTCACTGTATAATTTAATTTCTACTTACATTTATTTGTTTATTGTATTTTTGGTAGCAAATAATTGTATGCTTATTTATTTATTGAGCATTTATTTATTTCTGTATTTATTTTTAAATACGCCAGAGTTGGTCCTCTATAGAATCATAGTTCTCCATTGGCTTAAAAAAATACTGCTTTTATTTTTGCATTTAAAATCTCTCAATAGTTTTTCTCAATAGTGTTTTTATTATGATTTTTATTTAATATCATCCAGGTTTTGTGATGGATTGACTCAGAATCTATGTGGGATCATGGTACTCTGCTGGTTTCATGAGATGCATCTTTTGGTTTTGCAAATCAAGCCTCTAAATATTTACTATAATTGTTAGTATATAGGCTAAATAATAACATTCTAGCCTGATAGCTTCTCAGCTTTAAAAGCCAGGCCTACACACTTAGTTTGAAAAAGGGAAGTTAGGCTCCGTCCACACGAAGTCAAAACGAACACGAAACGCTGATATTTTCCAAAACATTTGTCGTAAAGACGGAGACATAAAATAAATGTGATCGTCCACACGAATGCATGAAAACGCTGCAAAATGTATGCCAGGCCTGTAAGTGGCGCTGTGGTGCCAAAGCAAAAATAAGCGAC